CGTGGCCCCGTGTGGAGCGCCACCGAAGCGCCCCGGAAAACCACTTTGGCATTTCCACCCACCCAGTACAGCGCCTCGTGGCCCCATAGGGAGCTCCACCGAAGCCCCCCATTTTCAACAACACATCAACACAATACAACGCTTCGTGGCCCCATCGGGAGCTGCACCGAAGCCCCCAGTGGGACCACCCGCATGCGTCCCCCGCCCCCCCCCACACACACAGACACACACACACACACACCACAACAACAATTTGGCATGGTCACCCGCCCACTACAGCGTTCCGTGGCCCCACCACCGAAGCCTCCACTGGGACCGCCCGCGTGCGTCCCACACACACACACACACACACACACACACACACACACACACACAAACACACACACACACAATTTGGCACGTTCGCTCACCCAATACAGCTTGTGGCCCCATAGGGAGCCCCACGGAAGTCCCCAGTGGGACCGCCCGCATGCGTCCAACACACCCAATCTGGCATTTTCACCCGCCCACTACAGCGCTTCGTGGCCCCATTGGGAACTCCACCGAAGCCCCCGTGGAACCGCCCGCATGCGCCCCACACGCCCAACTTGGCATGTTCACCCACTCAATACAGAGTTTCGTGCCCCATACGGAGCTCCACCGAAGCCCCCAAGCTCCCTGTGGGGCCACGCACCGTCGTATCAGTGGTGTGCCGTAATTAGCGTCGGGCGCATGCACCCTGTGCCACTGAGGCCTTCGGTGGAACTCCCTATAGGGCCAGGAACTGTGTGAGCGTGTGCCAAAATGGGCGTCGGGCGCATGCGGCCTGTGCCACTGGGGCCTTCGGTGGACCATCCTATGGAGCCACGAATCGTGTTAGGGGTGTGCCCAAATGGGCGTCGGGCGCATGCGGCCTGTGCCACCGGGGCCTTCGGTGGAACTCCCTATCTGGCCACGAGCCGTGTGAGGAGTGTGCCAAAATGGGCGTCGGGTGCATGCGGCTTGTGCCACTGGGGCCTTCGGTGGAGCTCCCTATGGGGCCACGAACTGTGTGAGGAGTGTGCCAGAATGGGGGCGTCGGGCGCATGCGGCCTGTGCCACTGGGGCCTTCGGTGGAGCTCCATATAGAGCCAGGAGCTGAGTGAAGGGTGTACCAAATTGGGCGTCGAGCGCATGCGGCTTGTGTCATTGGGGCCTTCGGTGGAATCCCCTATGGGGCCACGAACCGTATGAAGGGTGTACCGAAATGGGCGTCGGGCGCATGCGGCCTGTGCCACTCAGGGCCTTCGGTGGGGCTCCCTGTGGGGCCACGAGCCGTGTGAGGGGTGTGCCAAAGTGGTAGTCGGGCGCATGCGGCCTGTGCCACTGGGGCCTTCGGTGGAGCTCCCGGCCACGAACTGTGTGAGGGTGTACACAAATGGGCGTCGGGCGCATGCGGCCTGTGCCACTGGGGCCTTCGGTGGACCTTCCCACGGGGCCACGAGCCGTGTGAGGGGTGTGCCAAATTGGGGACGTCGGGCGCATGTGGCCTGTGCCACTGGGGCCTTCGGTGGAGCTCCCTATGGGGCCACGAACCGCGTGAGCGGTGCGCCAAAATGAGGGCGTCGGGCGCGTGCGGCCTGTGCCACTGGGGCCTTCGGTGGAACTCCCTATGGGGCCAGGAACTGTGTGAGAGGTGTGCCAAAATGGGCGTCGGGCGCATGCGGCCTGTGCCACTCAGGGCCTTCGGTGGGGCTCCCTGTGGGGCCACGAGCCGTGTGAGGGGTGTGCCAAAATGGGCGTCGGGCGCATGCGGCCTGTGCCACATGGGCCTTCGGTGGAGCTCCCTATGGGGCCACGAACTGTGTGAGAGGTGTGCCAAAATGGGGGCGTCGGGCGCACGCGGCCTGTGCCACTCGGTCTTTCGGTGGAGCTTCCTGTGGGGCCACGACGCGTGTGAGGGGTGCGCCGAAAAGGTGGACATGCGGAGAACAGAGGCAAGGGATGGGAGGAGAGGAGGAGGACGAGAAAGAGGAGAAAGAAAGGAACGTGGGGCGCTGCCTCTTCAAAGCGAGGACCCAGCACCACAGGATGGTTGGGAATTAAGGAGCGCTGGGCCCCTCCCCAACGAAAAGGCTTCCGCCTTCAGCGGCCAGCCTGAAGGAGGGGGAAGGGGGGGGGGAATAGGAGGAGGAGGAGGAGGAGAGGAGGGAAGGAGGGGAGGAGGGGGGGGGGGAGCGGGAGGGAAGGAGGGGGGAAGGAGGAGAGGAAGGGGGGGAAGGGGGGAAGAGCTGGAGGAGGAGACGGATCAAGAGGGAAGGAGGAATTGCCAAAAAGGCACCCGCTCATTCCAGGCCCCCGTCACCCGCTGGAATGCCCGACCGACCCGCCCTGGCCCGCCCGCCCGGCCCGCCCGCCCCGGCTCCTCCCTTCCCGTGGCCAACCTCCCGTCTCGCGTCCTCCCTTCCTCGCTCTCGGACCTCTTCGCTGTGCCTCCTTCTCCTACAGGGCAGTTTTTTTCAATACGTAGGATGTTTAAACATATAGGATGTTTAATACATGCTTAATTTATGAATACATGTGTGCATGAACGCCTCGTTATTTTTAGTACTAGATCCCTGCATGTTTAATACATGGTCCGCACGCGGAGCATGTATTAAAAACGGCACTGTACTATCTTAGGGGCCGCGCTGGCCACACCCGGCAGGCGAGGGATACTTGCCCACCAAAGGGGGGGCGCTCGAAGACGGAGATGAGTGTCGAGTCGGTATCGAGGGCTCTGGGCATACACGGTAAGTGGCAACGGAACACCGAAGAGTGAGCACAAGCACTGTGATCGCTGTTGTTGGGAAGTCGATGTTGGCTGACCCCGGAAACGCTCGACCGTGAGCCTCGCTGTCGAAGAACAGGTCGTCAAGCGCCGCGGCAAGAGAGCCAGGGCACTCAGGTGAGGTCCAACAATAAAATTAACAATGCTACGAATAATCATTCTTCGCATGTGAGTGATATGCATGTGTGTTAACACGGTTCGATGTTGTTGTTGTTGATGATGTTGTTGCTGTTGCTGTTGCTGTTGCTGGTGCTGGTGTTGTTGTTGTTGGTGTTGTTGTTGTTGTTGGTGGTGTTGTTGTTGTTGTTGCTGTTGCTGTTGTTGTTGGTGGTGTTGTTGTTGATGTTGTTGTTGTTGTTGTTGTTGCTGTTGCTGCTGCTGCTGCTGTTGTTGCTGGTGCTGTTGTTGTTGTTGTTGCTGTTGCTGTTGCTGTTGTTGTTGTTGTTGTTGTTGTTGTTGTTGTTCGCATGCCATTCCACATGTGCAGCCCAGACCTTCTGCCCACGCCCTCCTCGTCTATGGGCGTACCCCGTTTGGGGGGCACCTTCGTTACACCAGCTACAGTCGGCCCGTATCATCAGGATGCGCGAACAACAACATGCAAAGGCCTCGGACGCCCATTTCGAAGCTTTTCGAGCGGGGCGCGGCCAGCGGAAGTGACCAAGGATGGACCGAGGAAGCAAGGGTGCAAGTGAACCCTTGGGAAGGATGCCCATCCTTACAATATTCGGGGGGGACAAAAGTGGGGGGTAGTAAAGGCCAGAGTAGAGAATCAGCTCACGTAGCTGATTTTCCCAGCGCCTCCCGGCGCCGGGATGCGCCCATGTATCGAGGCATGGGCCTGGCGGCGGGGCCGAGACCAGCTGCATGCAGCAGGCTTCGTACACCCCCCCCTTTCCCCATCCCCCCCCTCTCGGTCGGCCCGATCTACGGGCTGACTGCACTGGGCATACAGTCGGGGCGTTGACCTAGGGAACCCTGAATCAGGAACGAGGCCCCTATTTTCCATAAGTTGAACTTCGGTTTCGTATCGAAAATCTAAGGAAAATCCAAGGCAAGCTGCGAAACACTTAAGGAGCACGGAGCCCCTCCCCAACGAAAAGGGTTCCTTCTTCAGGGCCCCGACCGTACGCCCCCCCCCTTTCCCCATCCCCCCCTCCCGGTCGGCCCGATCTACGGGCTGACTGATTGTGCGAGAGCACTTGCTTTCTCTTTCTCTTTCATAAAGGAAATGAAGACACGCTCGTATTAAAGAAAGAAAAGAAACGAATTTCTTAAAGAAATGTTCCAAACGTTTCTTTTTTCTTTCTTTAAAGAGCGTGTCTTGATCAGGAGATGGAATCAGACGGAAAGTTATCATGAGCGGGAGCGCCCGGACGGGACGGGCCGACCCGCGCGCGCGGATCGGGCGGGCGGGCCCGCACGGGCGGGGCAGGCCCCGGCACGCGGAGCCCGCGGACGAGCCGCAGACGGCGAGCCCTGCGCGGGTGGGCAACCGACGCGGACGGGACCCCCGCGGGCGGGCCGCGCGGGCGGAG